TTATCATTATTACCTTTTAAAGTATAAATGAGATCAAGTCATGACTTACCTTTCAATCATCCGACTGACACAAACTTTCCTAAGTCACAAACTTTAGACCATACAAACCTGTCCTTATATTCAAGTGAGATCAAGTCATGACTTACCTTTCAATCATCCGACCCAAACTTTCCTAATCACAAACTTTATATCATACAAACCTGTCCTCATATTCAAATATAATAAATCCCCAGCAATCAGTGTATTACTGTTTTATATTGTCTTTAAACACATGTCACTCACTCACCTAACTTAGCCCAGGATGTTGTCGCTGACGTCAGGAGCAACAGCCCGCAAGCCAGCTGACAGCGCCACATAATCGGAGGCTTTAAACTGTGGAAAAGCATGACCTTGAAGTTGGGGGAGCGATATGGGGGGGGCGAGAGGGGGATGTGGGGTAGGGTGGAGGGTAGGGTGGAGGGGGTAGGGTGGAAGGGGTGGGGTGGATGGGGGTAGGGTGGGGGGAGGGTGGTGGGGGATGGGGTTGAGCGGGTGGGGATGATGGGGGTGGAGGGGGTGGGTGGATGTGGTAGGGTGGAGGGGGTGGGAGGATGGGGGTAGGGTGGAGGGGTGGGGAGGATGGGTAGGGGGAGGGGTGGGGATGATGGGGAGGAGAGGTGGAGGTGGAGGGGAGAAGGGTGAAGGGGGAGGGATGATTGGGGGGGAGACGGGGTGGAGGGGGAGGGGGAGGGGGAGAAGAGTGGAGGAGAAGAAGGGTGAAGGGAGGAGGGATGGAGGGGGAGAGGGTGAGGGGGAGGAGGCGGGATGGAGGGGGAGAGGGTGAAGGGGAGGAGCGGGATGGAGGGGAGAAGGGTGAAGGGGAGGGGGTGAAGGGGAGATGTGGTGAAGGAGGGGGGAGAAAATGAGGTGAAGGAGGGAGGAGATAGGGTGGAGGGAGAGGGAAGATGGATTAGAGGGAGGGAGATGGGGTGAAGGGGGGGGGGTTGAGTTATCTATATGTGGGTATGTTTACGTTTGAAGGAAGGGTACAAATGGGTAGAGCGGTGGGGGTGTGAATAGAGATGAATGAATTGAGGTAGAGTGAATGGGGGTAGAGTGAATGGTTAAAGGGGGGGGAGACAAACAATGGAGGATGAGAAAGCATAAGTGCGGGATGAACGTTTTTAAGTGACAAGGAACTAAGATTATTGAGAAGAACGGGAAAAGGTGGGTTAAGGGGAGAAAAATGGGGGTGAAATGGGGGAGGGGGAGACGTGGAGAAAGTGGGGAGGGATGGGGGAGAAAGGGAATGAGGGAAAGAACAGAGATAAAAGAGGAGAGGAACGGAGGAAATGGGGGAGGGACGGATAGAAAATAAGTGAGGACAGATGATTTATTGGGGAGTGATTGGAGAGAAGGTGGGGGGGGGGAGTAAGGGAAAGACAGGGAGGGACGTAGGAAAAGAATGGGGTGACAACGGGTAAAGAGGAAGGAACGGAGGGGATAGATGTTGGAGGGACGAGCGAAAAGGAGGACGAGAGGGAGACAGAGAGGGACGGAGAAGATGGGAGAGGAACAAGGAGAAAATAGAAAGTCGAGAGAGGACGAACGAGAAAATGGGGGAGGGAGGGAGAGAATGGCGAATGACGAAAGGGAAACAGGGAGGGCCGAGAGAATGGGGGGGGGGGGTGAGATACAGCGAGGAAAGGCTGAGTGAGGATGCAAACAGCTGATCATTCTGAGTGAGGCTGCATGACGTCACTTGTTGCCAGGCCGGTTTTCACTTAAAAACAAAACGCTGAGTTACTTTATGAAATTACGTATTTTTCCGAATGAAACTGAGTTGAATATTTATAGAAATAAGAACAAAATATGACTGACTCATTAAAAATAAATATATAAACAAATAAATTGAACACGTAAATACCTTATTAATACTTGTTCTTTATGCCCTTATTCTGTCAGTAATATACAGTCAAAATGAGAAGCTTGTGACATTCATTTTCATCTAGTAAGTGCACTACATATAATATCTATACCTCTTTGCAATATGTACCGTCTTGCAATCTTGTTATTCACATTAATTTTCTAAGTATCTTGACTGCCCCTTGCGCTCACTTATCGCTGTTTATCTCTGTCTTATCTCCTGGTTCCTCTTATTCTAAATTGTAATTAACAATCGATAGCGTCCTATTTTCGTGCACACTTGCATGGTCCATCACCGTAATTACTTTTATAATCAGTTTCCTGTTTATTCATCACCGATTTATTCATAAAAAAAACCCGTGATTTAACCTGTTTTTTTTTTTTTTGTTTTTTTGTCCTATTTTCGTGCACGCTTGCTTATATCTTGCATAGTCCATCACCGTAATTACTTTTATAATCAGTTTCCTGTTTATTCATCACCGATTTATTCATAAAAAAAAACCGTGACTCATCATCCCATTTAAGACGATGAATCCTTGAAAACTCCTTTGATAAACACGAACCTTTTTTCTTCTCAAAACAAGCTTAGTTCACA